CAGCACGTTCCGCGCAGGTCGTGTTTGGAGAGGCCGTCCTCGACCACCTGTGTTAGCACCCCCTTCCCTCCACACACCCTCAGCTCCTCCTCCCCTGTGCGTTTCTCTCTAAATCATTAACGCCTCCCCCCCCATGTTGGTTTCCGGCCCCGGCCCCCCACCAGCCTGAGTGCTCCATCAGGCTGGGACTTTGTTCCCCTGGCCCGGAGTCCCGCTAGGAAATAGTCTCGGGAGAAACCAGTGCCCCCCAGGAGGTAGCTGCCGTTATTTCCCCATTTACAGGAGGGAGTGGAGGCTGCGAGGTGCAGTGACTTGCCCAAGGTCACACTAGCCAACCTAGTGGGACCCATAATCCAGGGACTTGGCCCTGGGCTGCGGGGTTTCCGTTTCTCTCCTCCCCGCCTAGGGCAGGTGGGGGGTGGCACTGGAGGGTGTGTTAGGGCCGGGGGCGCATCTGTGCAGCTGAGCCAAAGGCATTGGGGGTGAAGCAGGTGACTGGGGGGGCCCTGGCAGCCCCAGACCATATGGCAGTTAGAGAGAAAGCTGCTGTTTTGCTGATCCCTTCAGTCCCCCAGCCCCTGAGGTGTTGCAGCAGCTGGATGGGCTGGGACCCACCAGACTCTGAAGGTGGATACCCTGCTAGGGAGGGGAGCCTGAGAGAAGGGCACAGCCGAGGCCTTGAGAAAGAGCCACAGAGACCTGGGTTTGCTTCCACACTTGCCCGCCCCCCTTATTCCCCAAGACCTTGGGCAGATGACTTCACCCCCCTGAGTGACCCTTTGCTAAGCCCAGACCTGCAGGCTGAGTAGCGTCCCAGAATGCTGGAAAGGGGGCCCTCCATCAGCTGTGGTACCATGGAGCGGGGTGGGGTCTCTGTCCTTGAACCCTCCAGGCAAGCCAGCCCATCCAGCCCGTCTCCAAGCAGGGCCACCTGGGAAACCTGGGAGCAAGAGCCCCTCCTCCTTCCAAAGGTGTCCCCTCAGGGAGGTGCTGGGCCCACGGGCTCCTGTGCAAAACCTCAGAAAAAACAGGCCTGGTCCAAAGAGATAAGTGGGTGTTTGTGCCTGGAACAGGCATGCAGATCAGGGGGAGCCTGGAACCCTCCTTGGTACCCAGGGCAGCCCCCAACTCCAGGCCTGGGGCTGAAGGGCCCCTGCAGCTTGGAAGTGAGGGAGAGGGAGGGAGGAACTTCCAGTTTCCTGGGGGAGTTTCCAGGGGATAATGGATGGGGTGGGGCTCATGAGAGGACCAATGACCTCCCCATCCCCTCTGCCTGGACCTGGGCATCCCCAAGAGCCACCGCTCTGGATCCGCTGGGCGGAGGCTGTGCCCAGCCCTAGACAGCTGTCTCCGGGTGTGCGATGTGCGAGGGAAGGTGTTTGTCGTGACCCACGAGGCTGCTCCCCATCTTGCGTTGTCTGAGGGGCTGCGTCAGCACAGGCAGGAGTGTGCTCCGTATCCCTCCCTCCCCCGTCTCGCCTTCATCTCCTTTTGTCTTCCTTACCCATAATGTCTATATACTTTTTATTTTTATTTTTTAATTTATCCTCACCCAATCCTCTGTTCTCTCTCTCTCCCTTTCCCCCGTTTTGTGCCGTCTTTGCCTCCTCCGGTCCTCACCGCCCGTGGGTGCAGGGCCTCCCAGCCCGTGCTGCGATTAGGAAGTGGAAAGGTCAGTTCACTGGAGGCCCCCACCTCCGCACCTGGAGTGGGAGCCGCGGAGCTTTGGTGCCTGTTACACGTCTAACTTCGCTTTAAACTTAAAAGGCGTAAGAGGTAATAGACATGCTGTGAAAGATGGCCAGAATCGAAAAGCGTGAGGAGAAGGAGCGGGCACCGGAGGGAGGAGTCGGGAGGCTTCGGGGGATGGCGCGGCCTTTGCTTTCTGGCTCTGACTGCTGCTGGTGCCTCCATTCCGGCCTGAGCCCGGGGCTGGAGGTCACGGGCAGGCAGAGGTAGGAGCTGTTCCCCAGCTCCCGGCGCAGTGTCATGTCTGTTCCAAAGCACCCAAAGCCTCCTTCTCCAAGGCCCCCTGCAGGCCGGTCGAGCACACCCAGGACGCACCCATTTCCTGCCCAGCACCCTGTCTGATCCCTCCCTTTTCCTGGAATTTGGCCCTCGGGCAGGCCTCTCCTCCTGCCACGCCTCCCAGACTAGATGATCGATGTCAAGTGGGCCCAGTGCAAGGTTGTCAAGTGGGCCCAGTGCTAGGAGGCCCTGCAAGTGGTCCCACCTCACTGTCTCCCTAGCTCCCTCCTGAGCACCAGGCTGTGGGGCCTCCCGCCCCGTGAGACCGTGTTTGTTGAGTATCTGCTCCGAGCCTGGCTGGCATCGCACTGGGTCCCTGCTCCCCCACTCATTCCTCAGTGACTCCTCACATTATCCAGGCTTGGGGACGAGGAAACAGCTCAGAGAGGTGAGGAGGCTTGTCCAAAGTCACACAGGATTTGGACCCACCTCCCAGTGATTGCAAGTAGGCCGGTGACACCGCCAGCTGGGGTCGTCCCAGGAAGAACGGGCGGAGGCCTCAGGGACCCAGGCAGAGACAGTCAGCCATTCTTTCCTGCGGTGCCTTTATTCCCTGCTCACCAGCACCAGCTGTGGCCCTGCGCTCTGGTGGGGAGTGAGTGCTCTCTGCCCGGGAGGACAGTCCCCTCCGGGGGTTCCTCCTCTCCTCCCCTGGTGGATCTGGGAGAGGGACCCCAGGAGAGACCAGAACCAGGGCTGGGTTGGGGGTGGGGCTCCTCAGTCCCCTGGGCATTGTCCACCTTCCCTGCCTCCTGGCTCAGCATCTATGGTGGGAGCTCGGGCAAGGGGCTGGAGTCAGGCTGAGCTGATAAGCCAGGGGCCTGTGAGGCAGCTCTAGGCGTCCAGCTCAGGGGCCACCCCCGGAGGCTACAGAGCTCCTGTCCTGGAACCTGCTGTGGCTCCCCACTGCCACAGGACAGAGCCCCCGTTCCCTAGTCCCAACCTGGCTCCGGCCACCTCAGGGCCCAGCTGCTTTCACTCTGCCTTTGCGGACTGGTCTCCCTGCGGTCACACCCCTCCTCTCGGGTGGTACTGCCCCACCCCCCTGCTCTTTGTAGAAGCCCGGCCCAGAGCACAGGGGTCAATGTCTGACAGGGCGTGGACTGCCGCACCCCTTCCTTCAGCTGTTTCCCAAACCTCACTCCTTCGGCTGCAGTCAACTCCCAACCTGCATTTCATATCTTCCTCTCCGCTTGTCACCACCTAGCATATTCCATGTCTTATCTAATGTCTTTCCCCCACGAGAATGTTGGCTGCATGGGGGCGGGGGGGGGGGATTCTGTTCAGGTCTCTGTGTCTCCAGTGCCCAGTCCTGGCTTGACACACTGCACATGCTCAGTAAGGGTTTGTCCAATGAAGGAGCTGACTGGCATCCAATGGGAGTGCAGGGTTCGACTGCCCAGGAACCAGCCCTCTGCCTTGCCCTTTGCAGCCTTCTCTCCCTTGAGGCCTGAGCTGGGCACCCTGGGGGCCATGCAGAAGGCTGGGGCAAGGGGCCGGAGGGCCTCTGACTGCGGGCCTGCCCCTCACCGACCCAGGTGCATCACCAAGTTTGCCCAGGTGGGTTTCTCCCCCTTCTCCCCTGGGTGCTCTGGTGGGCGGAGACTGGGTAGCAGGTCCTGGGGGTGGGGAGGAGCTATGGGGAGGACCTATTTCTGTGTCTTCCCTCCCTGACCGAGGCTCGGGCATGTGTGCGTTGGCACAGATGAGATGAGGCCTCGGGGGCTGAGTGGCTTGACCAAGGCCACCTGCTGGGAAGTAGCAGGTCTGGACTCCGAGTACAGTGCTCTGCCACAGCTTACCCAGCAGAGCAGTGTGCACTTGGGCGGGGGGGGCGATTTGGGGATGGCGTTCAGGAGCCATAAGCTTGACTTCCCTGCCTCCCTCCCACCCCCACCCACGCCCAAGCAGTACGTGGGTTCCTTCTCCGTGGATGACCTGGACACCCAGGAGGGCGTGTGGCTGGTGCAACAGCAGCTGTGGGCACTGAAGGTAGGAGAGCTGGGGAGGGCGCTTCGCTGGTGGGGGTCCCGGCCTTGGAATGGCCGCTGGGACCATCCATCTGGTCCCCACCCCCAACCATAGAGAGGGAGCAAGTGAGGCCCAGGGAGGGCAGGACCAGAGCCATCCACACCCAGGCTCCTGGAGCCACATGCCCTATGCCCAGGACTCTCTCCCTTAGTTGTCACAAGCATCCCCAGGTTGGAAGGCACAGCTGGGAGATGCGGGGGTTGGTCCTGGCTGGGGGAGGTCTGCCAGGAGTCAGTCACCCTTCCCAGGCTCCTGAGGGTCCATTGTCCAGGGCTCAGTCCCCTAGCAGGTGGGGGAGTTGGTTAACCACCCATAGTGACTGGTACTGAGGCTGGGCTGGGCAGGGCAGGGCCTGCGAGGTAATACCTGCCCCCCACCAACTCTCTCCCACCAGGACTGTCCCCGACGCCGGGCCGTCATCCTGAAATTCAGCCTCCAGGGCCTCAAGATCTACAGCGGGGAGGGTGAGGTAGGAGCCCGGGGGTGCAGGTGAGGACTGGGCAGGACAGGTGTCCTTCAAGGTGTACTTGCCTCCACGCAGGCCCTGCACTGCCCCTGGAGCCTCCCGGCTTCCCAGGCTGCTCAGGGCCTTTGGAGTCCTCTCTCCAGGGAGCCCCCCAAGGCAAGCTCAGCAGGCAGCCGTTTCTCATCCACCTCACCCCTGATCCCGGCCCTCCAAAACCTCCAGGCGGTACCTCCTGGCCTGAGCATCAGGAACGACCCGTGAGGTTTTGGCAAGTTCCTTGGCCCCTACGTGGCCTGCCCAGCGGGCTGTGGCCAGCCTCTCATGACTGTGGAAGTGGGGGCCAGACTCAGGCTGGAGTCTAGGGGGCCCCTGTTCCTTCGCCCAGCCTCTCCCGGTGCAAGCCAGCGTTTGTTGAACACTAACTGCATGCCAGACGGTACACACCAGGAGGCTGGGTGCCACCTCCTAAGACGGGTGCCCCTGGTGTCCCAGAGGTGTGCACCAAAGGGGCCCTGTGCCACTTGCACGAGGTTGCACTGACCCACCAACAGCCCCATCACGGGGCGCGGGGGAGGGCTTTACTCACCTGCCCACGGCATACAGAGAGAGACAGTGGCAAAGCCAGGATGCAAACCCAGCTCATCCACCACCTAGACCAGGAGTGCACCGCAGGGCCTGCGGCACTGCCTCTGTGTGACCCCCTCCAGGCTGTGGATGCCCTGCGGTTCTAGCAGTGGGCAGAGGGAGCAAGAGATTTAAGCCCAGTAGCCAGGGAAGGATGAGGGTTTGGATTTGAAGCAGGGTTTGGGCAGGCCTGGAGGAGGGAAGAATTCTTTCCCCCAGAAGCTGGGTGGGCCCGAAACTGGGCACGCAGGCTGGAGAGCAGGCCGGGAGGCCTGCCAGCAGGTGTGCGGGGCCCGCAGGGCTGGCTCACATGGGGTGGCAGCTGCAGGCCCAGGGGTGGGTCTGATGGAGGCTGTCATGCCCGCTGCCTCCCCAGGTGCTCCTGATGGCACACGCCCTGAGGCGAATACTCTACTCCACCTGGTGCCCAGACGACTGCCAGTTTGCCTTTGTGGCCCGAAACCCACGGAGCCCGGCCAGCAAGCTCTTCTGTCACCTTTTTGTGGGCAGACAGCCTGGAGAGGTACCTGGGGCCCAGGCAGGAGACCACCACTGAGGCTGGGGTGGAGGGGTGCTGTGCATCAGCATGGGGTTCCAGAGGTCATGGAGGGCTTGGCCAAGCTGTCCTGAGCCCCCTCCAGACCTGGACCCATTGCCATACAGGCTCCTTCTATGCCTCTGCCCACTGAGGACTCCGCAGAAGCACGTCAATGGCCTCAGTATGCCTTGAAGACTAGGCCATGCACTTGGGTGTTGGAAGGTCACCCTGCCACACCTTGGCTCCTGCTGTTCTCTCTACCTGGGTGCCCTTCACCTTCTCATCCTGGAAAATTCCAACTTGCCCTTCAAGGCTCAGCCCATGTGCCTGTGCAGCCCACTGTGACTCCTGTAGCCTGCCACTCCCTCCTGGGGACCTGTGACCTAAACCACACCTTGTCATCGTTAGGCCTGTCCCTAATTACAGACACGGGGGTTCTTCCAGAGCAGAGACTGGGCCCAGGTTCCAGTGTGTGGCTCCGTGGAGCCGGTGGGTGGGCAGGTAGATCTTGGAATTCAAAGCCAGAGGCCAGAGGTGCCGTGCACTGCCCAGGGTCACACAGCAGCTCCTAAGGCACAGAGCCCGGGTCGGATGCCAGGCTCTGTGACTCCAGGGCCTGGGTTCTTAGCCAGCCCTCTGAGACGGTGCTGACCCAATGCATGGGGTGGGGTGCATTTAGCCCAGGTGTTCCCAGCTGCAACCATGATGCCTGGAGCAGAGTAGATGCTCAGGTAGGGGAGGCTGCATGGTGGTGAGGTTTTGAGGAGTAAGTAGGCGTTTTCCCACTTATGGGAAGAGCATCCCAAGCCAAGGAGTGGCATGCCCCTTTGGGGAGTGGGTTGATGCCTATGGTGTTGGCGGGGAGACCTCGCTCACCGGAGCCCGCCCCGCCCCGCCCCTCCCTAGGCCCAGATCCTGCACCTGCTGCTCTGCCGCTCCTTCCAGCTTGCTTACCTCTCGCAGCACCCTGCGGAGCGGGCACAGCCTGAGCCCTGCCCCGGGCCCGCAGGGGATGTGCCCCTGAAGCCACTGGCCAGCCCTGGGAGGCCCCCTGGCCTAGTCCGGGAGCCCTTCGTCCGTGATCAGCTCTCACAGAACGTGCGTGCACTGGTCTCCTTCCGGCGGCTGTCAGCAGAGGGGCCCATGGGCAGTGGGGTATGCAGCCCCCCAACCCCAGCCAGGGAATGGGCAGTGGGCAGGGAACTGGGCGAGGTTTTGGCATCACGTGGAGGTGGTTGCTGGACTTCAGAGGGAGGGCTCGCCTGATCTGACGTGCTAGACCTGATCTGCCAACCCCGCTGGGCCCTCTTGGTACCCTAGAAGGAGCTGCTGGAGTTGGAAGGCTGTGGGAGTGCCCGCCATTCCCGCCTGGGGAATCCCTACTGCTCCCCGACCCTGGTGCGTAAGAAGGCCATCCGCAGCAAGGTGATCCGCTCCGGGGCCTACCGCGGCTGCACCTACGAGACCCAGCTGCAGCTGTCAGCCCGGGAGGCCTGTGAGTAGCAGGAGAACCCCTGCCCCGTGCGTACCTGGGGCGCGGCCTGTGCACCTGTGTGAGTCGGGGGGAGTGGGCCCCAAAGTCTCTCTGCCAGGCATGCCGGCGCCTCTGAGCAGAGGCTGTGCTGTGAGTGACTGTGTGTCGTGCCCACGTGAGTGCACCCGCGTCCGAGTGCTGGGGCTCGCAGCGGTGATGGTGTGGCTGGATGTGCTGAGCTGGTGTGGGCTGTGCTTGTGTGCGGATGTGTCCTTTGGAGGCTGGATGTGTGGCTGCTGGTGAGGAGGGGTCATAGGGCCTGTGGGGGTGAGGTGGGCTGGGTTAGGAGGAATCGGTCTCTCCCTCTGACTTCTGAATGGTCTCCATAGTTCCTGGCGCGTGGGAGGCGTGGCCGCAAGGTCCTGGCAGCCCCGCGAGCCCGGTGGAAAGTGAGGGCAGCCTGACTGAGAACATCTGGGCCTTTGCTGGCATCTCCAGGTAGGAGGGTGCTGGCCTGGCTGAATGCTGGCCCCTTGGGATGAGCAGAGAAATAGGCTGTGGGCGCCCTCTGCCCCTCAGGGCCCTGCCATGTAGGTGCATATTCCTGTGCAAGGGCAGGGCGTTCCTGATCTCGGGCCAGAGTCTCCAGCATCTTGGGCCTCAGTTTCTCAGCTTTAAAGTGGGCATAACAACAGGACCTTCGTGGCCGGGCTGTGGGAGGATCAAGTGAGGTCATTCCAACGAGGAAAGACCTCAGCACCAGGCGACAGCTCCCTCAGCGTCAGGTCTTTGAAATGCTCCTGACCAGGTCTTGAAATTGTCAGTTAAGGGCGCCCTAGAAACCTTCTGAAAGGAAGGCTAGAAGCTCCCTGTCCTGGAGGCCCTGTTCTCGGTCAGGCACCTTGTTTAAGATGGTTTGGGCCCAGCCAGCGTGGCTCAGTGGTTGAGCGCCGACCTGTGTATGAATCAGGTCACAGGGCATATGTCTGGGTTGTGGGCTGTATCCCCCATTGTGGGACGTGCAGGAGGCAGCCCATCAATGATTCTCTCTCCCTCTCCCTTCCTCCTTGAAATCAACAACAACAACAAATATATATATTTTAAAAGATGCTCTGGGGCTGATACCCCATTGCCTGGGAGCAACCTGAAACAGTCCAGACTAGAGGTCCCACCTTCAGCCTCTCCCTCTGCCATTCCAGGCCCAGTGCCCTCGCCCTGCTCCGGAGAGACGTGCTCGGGGCCTTCCTGCTGTGGCCCGAGCCGGGGGCCTGCGGCCAGTGGTGCCTGTCCGTGCGGACACAGTGCGGCGTGGTGCCCCACCAAGTCTTCCGGAACCACCTGGGCCGCTACAGTGTGGAGGTAGAGTGCAGGCAGTCAGCCCCCCAACGCGCCCTCAGGCCCCTCGCCCTTTAACTCCTGAGCCCGCCTCACCCTCCTTCTGGTCCCCCTGGGCTCTCTCTGGCCCCATCCTTTATTTACCTCCATCGAGCTCCTTACTCATGGTCCTGGCTGCCCCCGCCCCACTGGCCCACTCAACCCCACCTCTACCTCTGGGCTCGCCCTCACCCCTCTCTAGAGGCCTTGGGGGGTACCGCTAGCAGAATCTGGGGCTAGCACCATGCTTCACATTCTATGGGAATCCCGGCTTTCAAGTCTGCCTTCCCACACCCTAACCATCTCTTAGCAGAGGAGGAAGCTGACTCAGGGTAGGGGCCTCCTTAGGCTCAGACAGCCTCTGAGTCTCCAGGTCTGGAGTCTTGGATGATCACAGGTTTCGGGCTTTTTAGATGTGCACCCTTCCCTCCATGCTAAGTGCCTCCATCCCGGCCAGGCTGGGAGGAGAGAGAGAGGAGATGGTGCCTGGCTGTGCTGTGAGCAGGACGGTGACCTCCCTGAGCTCGAACTTCCTCCTCTCTGAAGTGGGGCAGGATCCCAGGCGAGGGGGTGGTTGGTGCCCGGCACCAGCCATGGGGCAGGGGGAGCTGGGACTGAAGCCCTCCCTCCCCCAGCACCTGCCGGCCGAGTTCCCCAGCCTGGAGGCCCTGGTGGAGCACCACGCGGGGACTGCGCGCAGCCTCTTCTGCTCGCTCGACATGGGCCGCCTGAACCCCAGCTACGAGGAGCAGGACTGTGGGCCCGAGAGCAGGCCTCCCCGGACACTGCGGCCCCTTGGCCATGCCAAGTCCGAGGCAGAGCTGCAGGGCCTGGGCTAGGAGGCCGGGCCCACACCAACAGGCCTGGCCTCCCCGGGTCCCTGGGCCTCAGCAGGCCACTCTGCCCTTCTTCCACCCCGCTGGTCCGCTCCATCCAGTCACTCAGCCCCTCGGACCAGCCTTCCATCACTTCACTGCCTGTGGCGGAGCCCTGTGGGGTTCTCCCTCGACATGTGGCCCCTTGAGACTGCAGGGCGGGTAGCAGATCTCCAGGCTTCCGTGAACTTGCTGGGTGGCTTGGGGGCTTGTCCTCTGGGCTTCACGGGAGCTTTCTGGGGAGCGGGGGGCAGGAAGAGTTAGTCCCAGTGGAGGGGTAGCCTCTCCTTAGGAGGCCAGGCTCCGGGGCCCTGACTGGGAGTCTCTGGAGAGCTCCTGACAGGCAGCCAGACATGGAGGGTGAAGTGCCTGGGGAGGCGGGCGAAGTGAGGTTTCACTGTGGGCAAAGGCCTGGGAGAGCCGCCCTCTCATGAGAGACACAGAGATGACTCAGTGGAGCCCGTGGGCCACATCCTGGCTGCCTGTTTCTCAGGTCATCTGAGGTAAGGGAGTCTTCCCTGGAGTTCTGAGGAGCAGGGGTAGGAGGGTAGAAAGGCCAGGGTGGAGGAAGAGCCACACCACCCAAAGCCCATGCGCAGGGCGGACACCTGTGTGCAGAGCGGGACGTGAGCCATCGGGGCGAAGAGTCCCCGGGCAGCGCTTGGGAAGCCGGCTTGTCTGTACTCAGAACCACGGGGTGGGGATCCCGCTCACAGGGAAGGGTGCCCAGCCTCTTCCACTCCCCATGACACACACGCCGTGCATTTCCTTTTGCCGCTTGACTGAGAGGGGATAGCAGTGAGCACGGGCTTAGAGGGTGGACCAGAGTCCCGCTCAGCCCGCAGGCTGCAGCAGGTTTCGTGGCTACCCGTGAAGTCACCTGATGAGGGGATTGCCCTTAGTGTGGCGCTGACCAGGCTGTCGGGAGCCGCCGTGCCCCCCTTAGGCTAGTTCCTCTGGGGAGGGGGTCAGAGGAGAGCCAGGCACAGTCAGAACTGACGTGGGCTCTGCCAGGGGGCTTGGCCTCAATGGACAGAGTGGGTCACGGACATGACTGTAGCCTGCGGGACTGATCCCGTGCTGACCGGCAGGAATCCCCCTTCATTGGTAAGCTTGACAGACACGAATTACCAAGCGAGGGAGGAAACCCACTGGGGGTGAACTTCTATTTCTAAGGCAGAGGCCTGGTCATGAATCTGGGGCTGCCCTCTCCCTCCCCTGGGAGTTGGATGTGACTATTCGGTGCCTTGAAAGTAACAGATCCTGACTCCTCCCGTGAATAGCAGCCCCACAGAAGAGAAACGGAGGGAGGATTCTGGGGGGCTGGTGCTCCCAGCTTACAATCCCGCTGCCAGGACGGTCTTGGCGAGGGACCCTGTCGTTCTTGTCAGAGAGATGGGGGAAGCTGCCCTTGGGGGCTCATCTCACTGGAACTACAGCGCTGATTCTGTACTGAACGGGAACGGGAACCCGGAATTCCCTGTGCAGCCATTGCTACCTGAACCCGTCTCCCTGGGCAAAGCCCTGGTCCCTAGTGGGAGTACCCAGCCCTACATTTCCCTGGCAAGGAGAAGGGTTTGCTGGCACAGTGCCCAGGATGAGAGCACTGGAGTCGCACATGTAAGAGCTGGTAACTGGCCCGGCTCAGGCCAGAGCTTTGCCTCTGTGATGGATGTGTTTTGTGCAAACTATCCATGTGGATAAGGTGTCGGGTGCCCCCAAAGCACTTTAACATTCCTTTTCACAGCATTTATTATTCACATGGCACAGATAGGGCAAGGTTTTTGACCCATGTGTGCAAACACGTCAATGTCTTAATCGTAGATCAGTTTTCTCTCTTCCAACTTGCACCACCTGGGTAGCCCAGTTCTCTTTACTGTATGTACTTGAAATAAAATGCATTTCTTCGGATTGTCCGGTACCGACTTTTCCTTTGGAAGGTGATGTCTCTGTTCAGTTTTCCTGTTTTGTTTTTGTTTGTCAACACACCTTCAGATGGTGCTGACCAGCAGAGCGACAGGTCTTGTTCTCAGAGGCAGAGGGTGTCCTGAAGGAATCGGATCAGTATTTTCAAATCCTCTCTCTCCTGCTTAAAGTCTTCAGTGGTTATTTCCTGTGGGAAAAAGACTCGTCCTGTGCTCTGGCAACTTGGGCTTTCCTTCTGCTCCTGCAGCACGCCACAGGACCTTTGCACAGCCTGGACAGGTCTTGTCCTCCCTGCCTTTTGCCTGGTTAACTCAACCTTAGCATCTCAGCTCCTGTCACTCTCGGGAAGCCTGCGGGGGAGGGGTGCGGGTGAGGTCCCCCTGCTGGATGTTCCACAGAACTGGCCCTGTAGTTTGTAATGACTAGTTCATTGATGGGGTTTTTGTATGTGGGAGATTTGTTTTTGATGTCAGTCTCCCCCACTCAATTAGACTATGGGCGCCAGGAGGGCAGGGATTGGGCTGTCTCCCAGCGCCTACTAGATGCCTGGCAGGTAGCTATTTCTGTGCAGAGTGGAGCCTAGAGGCGGCTGTTCTGGCTGGAGGGACGTGTGCTGAGCCGGGAGACAGGCCAGGCAGTCTCTACAGCTCAAAAGACCTTGGCTTTCAGAGTGTTTTGTTTATTCATCTTGAGGCTTAGAAAAAACGAGGGCGGCATTGGAAGGACAGTTTGCCTTGTTCCAGGGACTCTGAGTCAGGGATGTGAGAACAGCAAAGTCCTGGTTGCCTGTCTCAGTAGGTCTCCGACCCCCGCGAGAGCCCCCTCCTCTCCTCTCTCAGGGGTGGCGTCAGGCCTGGCCTCCCTGCTTAGCTGGGCAACCTCGGGCCAATGGCTTCACCTCTCTGCACCGGGGCTGCATCGGGGAAGACAGCGGGCGGGACGGACCGGGCAGGCAGCCCCGCGGGCAGGCCTCGAGCCGGGGCTACACCTGTCCACACTCCGGCGGCCAAGCGCGGGCAGCGCGTGGTTGTTCTCGCGGGCCGCCACCTGTGCCGCCACGTGCGTTGCTATGCAACCGCGAACGCCTTGGTGGCCTGAGGGCAAGCGGGCGGCTGGGAGCTTGGGTCCTGCGGCGCCTGCAGCGCGGATCCTCCACTTCCCCGCCAGGGCCGGGCCTCAGCCCTGCTCTCGCCGCGTCCCCGGCTCCAGGCGGCCAGGGGTCCCCTGCCGGGCGGCTGTCTGTCCCCCGCCCGGGGAAGCCCTGCCGGGGCGCGATGGCCTCGGAGTCGGTGAAGGTGGTGGTGCGCTGCCGCCCCATGAACCAGCGGGAGCGGGAGCTGAACTGCCAGCCCGTGGTGACGGTGGACTCGGCGCGTGGCCAGTGCTTCATCCAGAACCCCAGCGCCACCGACGAGCCGCCCAAGCAGTTCACCTTCGACGGCGCCTACTTCATGGACCACTTCACGGAGCAGATCTACAACGAGATCGCCTACCCGCTGGTGGAGGTGAGCGCGCCGCCGGGAGGCCGCCTGCGAGGACCGGCTGGGCAGGACTTGGGCCGCCCTGAGGGGTCCCGAGGGACGGCACTGCCCCCAGGCCGCCGGAGGCCCCCTGGACACCAGCAGGTTGGTCTGAAGACCTCTGCGGGCAGGAGAGCAGGAACCCGCCCACCAGGTCTGTGCCCAGGTCTCCAGTGCGCCCAGTGCCCAGGCTGCCCGCATCCCCTCCCCTGCAGCCCCTCTCCCACCGGAACTTCAGCCTGCAGGACCGCCTGCCCCCACCCTCGCCTGTGAGCTTCAGGGCTTCTCTAAACGCTCCAGCCACTTTCTCCAGCTTCCTTCTCCTTCTCTCTCCCCCTTCCCCTCCCCCTCCTCCTCCCCCTCCCTCTGCTTTCTCCCCCTCAGCATTCAGAGCCCTCTCTTAATCCTATGGGGGAGAGAGGACATCTCACCAGTCCCTGCTTCTGCTCCTTTGAGCTTCATAGGGGGGAGGGGCCTCACACATCACAGATGGAGAAACTGAGCTGGGCCCCCACAGGGAGTCTGATAGATGTGGGGCTGGATCTGCACCTGCTGTCCGCAGGGGAAGGGCCCTTTCGTTTCTGCCAACATCTCCCCAGCTGCCAGGGCATCACTAGTTGAGATGTGACAGGTGGTTCCAGGTAAAGGGGAAGTTTGGGAAATGCTTTGTACACGCTCTCTCGCTTGAAAAAAACACTATAACTTCTTTAACCCAGTGTTTCCAAAATAGATGTGACCACGGAACCTTTTTTGTTTTGGACGGCAGGCTATTAAACATCCCCAGAACACCAGCTTTGGCTGCACCAAGATATCTTCCTCCAAGATAGTCAGAACCCTGGAGCGGCTGCAGTGTTCTGAAGCCCAGAGCGCCCCAGTGGTCAGGCCCTGCCCCAGGACGATGCCCAGAGGACGAAGGCCGCTCTCCCCGGGGGTGGTCCCAGGCTCTGGGCATGGCAGGCTGTTCCTCTCTGTCCTGGATTTCCAGGCTGAGGGACCTGAGGGGTCATCTCGTCCAGTCTTCTCCCCATCAGGTCCTTATCCTTGGATGTCCACCCAGTGGAAGGGGCTCACCTTTTCCAAAGCTTCCCAAAGTCCCCCCTTGGCTGCTTGGCTCCTAGAAGGCCATCGTACACTAGAGCTCATCTCAGTTCAGATGCGCGAGTGTCCCCAGTAAACATGAAATGAAGCACACTGAACTGTGTTTAGTGGGAAAGTATTTTACGCTGCTTCCGTTTTTAAGTGTAAATTAACTAAAATAAAATAAATGCAGTATCTCCTTTGCCCCAGGCATGTACTAGCGTGGCTGGTAGCTACCCCCCTGGATGGTGCAGGGGTATTTATGTTTATGTGGACTTTTGTCTGGGTTTGGGTGACGACGATACTCTGGGTGCTGCACCGTGTTCCTGGGACTTTGTGGGCCCCTGGCTCTGAGGAGCCTGGCTGTGGCCCCGGTTGGGTGATGGGGACCCGTGCCTGTGTGCAGCCCACACAGTGGTCAGGGTTTCCTCAGCCAAGGGAGAGGTGACAGTGTCCAGTTCTGCCCATGACAATGAGGCCTCCCTCCAAGGAACTGTGAACAGTGGCCTGTCTTCCTTCCCCAGCAGCCCCCTGGGACCGGAGCCCCACGTGGTCTACGGGGCGGGCCTTTGCAGTGGAAGCAGGCACAGACCCACATGGGCCCTCGGGGTCCGGGAGCAGCTCTCCGGCCCAGGTTCTGACACTGGGCTCCCCCCTCCTCACAGGAGGTTCTAGAATTTGTGTCCTCGTGTGCAAGGGCAGGGACTGGGTGTCCGCCTGATTCATTGCTCTGTCCCCTGCCAGAGCACGGTGCCTGGCACAGGGAAGGAATAGAATAAGTGCATCTGGACAAAGAATGACTTCAGGGTGCCACCCGCTTGCCCTGCCTTCCTTCTCAGCTTCTTCCATCCCCCTCGCCCCAGCCTCCCTCCTCTCTGTCTTCGCTCAACCTGTCCCCTCAGCCTGGAATGCCTTCCTCTTCTGTCACCTGTCAAAATCCAAGCCTCCCCTTCAGTTCCCCCAGTTCCACTTACCCAGGAGGCTGTGCCTGGATCTTCCCACACTGTCCTGTCCCCGCCCCCCCACTCCCTCTCCTTGCCCAGAGCCTGAACTCCCCACATCACACTCACCTCCACTTGCCTTGTATGGGAGTCACTCCCCCACAATCCAGGCGGACATTTAGTGAGCACCTCTGTACCCCAGCATCCCACTGCCAGTGCCTGCAGTACTTCTCGGGTAAACCTCACGCAACCTTGGAGGAGGTGCTGTTCCGACCCTTCATTTCAGGGGAGGAAACTGAGACTCAACGTGCCTGCGTACCAACAGGCCAGGGGCACACAGTCACTAAAGGGTAGGGACCGATTTGAACCCAGGTGGCTAGACTCCAGGGCACAAGCTCTTAACCACACACAGGGACAGTCTCCTACCCCAGCAGGCACTGAGCCTGAGGACAGAGCTGTGCCTCATTCATGTCTACCTGCCCACCCCCAGCCCAGGGACATCGAGGTGGGAGGCCCAGGAGGGGTCCCAGGTCAGCCCCTCAGACCTGGCCCTGGCCTGGCCCTGGCCCTCCGCCAGGCCGTGCTGGGCCTGCTGAGCACCGGGTTTTGGTCCTCCCACGCAGGGTGTCACTGAGGGCTACAACGGCACCATCTTTGCCTATGGCCAGACGGGCAGCGGGAAGTCCTTCACCATGCAGGGCCTGCCCAACCCACCCACCCAGAGAGGCATCATCCCCAGGGCCTTCGAGCACGTTTTCGAGAGTGTGCAGGTACGGGCCTCGGGAGGGCAGGGGCAGGGGAGGGCTGGTGCCCGGGGCACGGGGTCCCAGAGCACTTCTGACTCTGGGATGAATTAGAGCCTCTACAGCACGAATTTGATGGGAGAACTTAAAACTGTGACATGACACCTCGCATTTTTTTCTCTTGCCATTTTTGGATTTTTTTAAAACATTGATTTTAGAGAGAAGGGAGAGGAATAGAGAGAAGGGAGAGGAATAGAGAGAAACATCAGTGTGAGAGAGGAACATCCATTGACTGCCTCCTGCATGCCCTCTACTGGGGATCGAGCCCACAACCTGAGCACGTGTCCTTGACCTGGGACCCTTCAGTCCGCAGGCTGATATCTACTGAGCCAAACTGGCTAGAGCTAGCTTTCCATTCTATTGAGCAGTTGCTACAAACCAAGCCTTGTGCAAAGCCCTTTATTATCCCACTGAACCCCCACCCTGGCCCATCAGTAACCATCACCCCATTTTTAAGGATGGGAAGCTGATACTGGTTTGGCTCAGTGGACAGAGAGTCAGCCTACGGACTAAAAGGTCCCAGGTTCGATTCCGGTCAAGGGCACATACCTGGGTTGCAGGTTGGATCCCTAGCAGGGAGCATGCAGGAGGCAGCTGATCGATGATTCTCTCTCATCGTTGATGTTTCTATCTCTCCCTCTTCTGTCTTCTCTGAAATCAATAAAAATATATTTAAAAACAAAAACAAAACAACAATCATCGCAGTGTCCAGGCTGCAGGTGAGAAGTTCAGGTGACATTTGTAGCAATGCACAGAGATTCCTGCATCTGGGGAATGGCAACGTGGGGACAGGGACCCTGGTCAGCTGCGGAGCCCACTGTACCTGCACCCGGGACTCAGCTGGTGAGAGGGCTGCCGGGAATCAGCCCAGGGCCAGTGCTTGGTCCAGGCCTTACCTGTGGCCTCAGTTTCTCTACCTGAACAATGGGAGGCCTCTCCCATTTCTTTTCCTTTGAGGCCTGTAGAGAGAGCCTTAGACAACAGCAATATGAGAATGATGAGATGCTGTGAGCCTGACCCCCTCCCCCTCCCCGCCCCACATCGCTCTGATGTCTGGCTGCAGGGGCTCAGGTGGCAGGGCCCGGGAAGGCAGCAGGGGCTCAGGTGTCTGTCTTTGCTCTCTGCCCACTCCCTGCAGTGTGCGGAGAACACCAAGTTCCTGGTCCGGGCCTCCTACCTGGAGATCTACAACGAAGATGTCCGTGACCTCCTGGGGGCTGACACCAAGCAGAAGCTGGAGGTGGGTGCAGACCTGGCACGGGCAGGTGGGGGCTGGTGCAGAGGGGAGATTGGCATCAGGCGGTGGTGGGCCCTCAGAGTGCACAGCTGCTGGTAGAGACTACAGGGAGGACCTGTGACCCCCAAGGTGGTTGTGAGGTTCAAGAGGGTAACGAGGGCGCGCTGCTTAGCAAAGCCGGCGTATGGCAGGTGTTCCGTGTATGCGCGATTCCATGCCACTGCGACTCCCAGAAAGGAAGGTGGGTGTGACTGGCGGCCGTGCAGTGGAAACCCAGGGAGGAGGAGTCAGGACTGATGGGCACGCGTTTTGAACATTGTCCTCAGTCTCCTAAAAGGCGAGAACCGGAATGAAAGAACATTCTTTCCCAGCACGTGAAGCCAAATTAGATGCTTCGAGGGTTCTATCAAGATGACAGAACTGCCCTGGCCAGTTTGGCTCAGTGGATAGAACATCAGTCCGAGGACTGAAGGGTCCCGGGTTCAATTCCGGTCAAGGGCACTTAAACTTGGTTGCTGGCTGGATCCCAGGCCTTTGTCGGGGCCGTGCACCCTCCCACTCTCTCTAAAAATCAATGGAAAAGTATCCCCAGGTGAGGATTAACAACAATGACAAAAGGAACCTTGCAAGGTGACAGAACTGATCCTCTGGGGAGCCGGCGAGGTCAGGTGACAGAGCAGGACTGCACAGTTGGTGGCCAGGCTTGATCGGCCCGGGAGCCTTGGGCCTTCGCTTTGGCGCGAGGCTTTGGGCCTCTTTAACTCTGAGCGGGCCTGGGCAGGTCCAAGGAGGAGAGGCCAGTGTGGGGAGGTGCTGGTGGCTGCCCGCCAAGTCTGGTGCTTCTTATCTGACCAAGCAACCAATGGGGTCCCAAAGGCCCACCCCCAGCGTCGGGGATCCGGGGTCGTCCCACCCCCCTCAGAGGCAGAATGTCCGCGTTGGGGGAGTGCCAGTCGTTGATGAGCATCCGCCCTGGGGGGTTGCTATGGAGATTCCCATTTTCAGGCGAGGAAACTGGGCTGGAAAAGAGGGTCACTCGGGTCCCTGCGTAGGAAGTGGCAGAGTCAGGGTGGGACATTTTCCATGACCCAAACGGCGTCAGTCTCCCCAGGCCACGTGCCTCGACAGCCATGGGGGCGAGCAGAACCCTCCGGACCCTGCCTGTCCCCTCGTGGCACAGGACACGGGAGCCACCCATGTGGGGCAGCGAGTTTCTCTGCCCGGCTCCAGAGCCTTCTACGTGCCTCCTGACCCCCCACTTGCCCTGGCTTCATTTGTGGGGCTGTGAGTTCCTCTCTGATGAGTGGCCACTCCATGGCCCTGCGGAAGTCAGGCTGGGGAGCAGCTGTCTGGGTAAACTTGTTCGTGCCTGTCACGCCATGGAAACGTCCCACGTATCTGAGCCGGAAGGACCCTGAGAGATCCAGTCAGCCTGTCCTGGTACAGATGAGGAAACCGAGTCCCACGGAGAGGCAGGGGCTTGGCCAGGTCACAGCCACTACTTGTTGTACCTGAACTTGTGGGATGTGCGTGGTCAGGTGCTTTCCTCCCAGTGTTTTGGGGTCAGTGATATAGGAAGCCCCTGGGGCAATAAGAAGCCGGGAATTAGGTTCTAGTGAGGGAGAGCCATGTGATTCACTCGTTCAACAAAACCTTACTGGGTGCCGGGTGCCGGGTGCCAGGCCCCACGCCCCGCGCTGCAGCAGGTCCACACAGGTGTGCACTCCCCTCCCTCCCTGCCAGTCCCCGTCCAGACCAGGACCAACCCAGTCCCTCCTTCTCCGCTTCTCCAAACACAGCAGTGCGTTGCCCTTTCTGTGCAGGAGCTCCAGCCGCCCACCCAGAGTCTTTTACTGTCTTTTCTATCCTGGGCTCGCGCAGCTGAGTCACACGTCAGCCCCCCGACAGGGAAGTGGGGGAGAGGCAGCACAGGGAGTTGTTCCCACTGCTCAGCCCTGAAAGGCCCGCCCCGGCCTGGGGCAGCAGGGGGCCCTCCACCCCTTCCTGGTACCCTGACCCCTAGACTGGCGTGGTCACCAGGCCCTGAGGGGCAAGGGCTGGCAGCTACATGCTTGCCCCAGCTGGGCCAGGGGCCTCAGGCTTGGGGAACCGGGCTCCTGGGGGGCCGCCAGGGAAGATGCGCTCCAGGACACTCCCCAGGTGCTCTGAGCTTTGACGGGGAGCCTCGCAGAGAAGGCACAGGGGGGTCCTCATGTAACCTCACAACAGCCTTCGGAGGAGGTGCTGCCCGTGTCCTTTATCACAGATGGGAAACTGAGGCTCGGGTGCCTGGGTAAGAGCAGCCACAGGCACATCAGTGAAGGGTGGAGACCAGATACAAACACGGGTGGTCAGGCTCCTCCGCACAGCGCGGGGCCGAACATTTTGGTAATTGGGTTATTAGATCAGCGAGGGCCAGCAAGAGATTTTGGGGAGCAGAGTTCTACCTCCTCCTCCCCAAACCATGAAGTATTATGGAAACAACCCAGCTCTGGGCGGAGGAGGTCGGCCTAGGGGGTGGGGGGGCCCTCCGTCAGGTCCTGTACCCCGTGTCCCGGCAGCGTCAGGACCCTCCCCCATGGGGGTGTTTCCTGGCTCCATGTCCTGCCTGTGCGCCAGGCCCAGCCATGCCACATCCCAGCTGGTTGTCATGGCGACTGGGCAGCGCTGCAGCTGTGGAGCAGTTACCAAGGAGCAGGGCCCAGCTGGTGGCTGTCATTCAGCGCCTCCCCAGCTCTGTGGTGGGCGGGGCAGGAACATCAGGGGAGGGATGGGGGAGCCCGGGATGAGGAGATGGGAGAACAAGCCTTCCTGGGTCTAAACACGGGGTGGGGTGACCCCTCCGGGAGGGGGTGCCTCCCTGCCTCCTTTTCTGCTCGTGAGAGACAGTGTCCTCACCTCTTCATGACCTGTGCTCACTCAGCCCCGCCAAGTTCCCAGAGAACTTGTTATTAGCTCCATCCTCTTCTTAATCCTCCTAATAGTCAGGCAGAAATGGGATTTATTATCCTCATTTTATAGAGGAGGGACCGAGGCCAAGAGAGGCAAACTGACGTCCCCAACTAGAAGCAGGTTTCCATCCCAGGCCTATCTGACTCAATAGGAGCTGCCTTCTCCCTGAAGCCGCGTGCAGCCTCTCACCTAGACCTACTGTGTGCCAGGCAGCCTTCTAGGTTCTTCCAGGGAGCGTGGCAGTGATCAAAAAAGGCCGCTCTCTGCTCTCAGCTCTCAGGCACACAGGTGGGCGTGAAGGAAGCTGCCAGGTGCTGCTGCGGCCTCCCGCTGGCTTCACACAGGCTCTGTCTGCGGGGTTTCCCCCTCCTGTCCCACAGCCACCTCCTCGGCCAAGGTCAGCCTGTGTGATTTCAAGCTTCAGTTACTGCAGGATGCCCCAGCCTCTCTCCAGGCTGCCCCTTTGGGCTCTTACAGTGTCTGTCACCCCTTTGGCGGCCTAGTGGCTGTGTGACCATCAAGCCACTGACCCCCTCTGTGCCTCGCTGTTTCTCCACGCCCCGCAGGTCGGCAAGGCTGCGCTTGCCCCCACCCGAGGGTGCAGCAGGTCCCAACCCCCCTGGGACCGTGAAGCTGCCCGCAGCAAAGCCTCCAAGCCATCGGTGGCTCAGACCAACAGACGGGCTACTTTTGTCCTAGTTCACTCTGCTCTTGTCAGAGCGGTTTTGTTTCTTCTCACACTTGAGAAATATTGCGTTTCACAGCTCTGTGTCAGCAACAAAACAACCTGGCTGCCGGGATTGCCAGCAGGGAGCAGTCGGAGAAATTAATTTACTCACTGCCGTCGCGCGGAGAGCCACTTGAGCTGTGGGCCATCGGGGGTTATGGCAGCAAATGGCACTTCGGCGTCAGGATCCAAGGCTGTGGGAACATTCCTGTTGCCTTGGTGCCGTGGCAGAGGGGCACAGAGCCACGTGGATGGGGCAGAGGAGGAGCACGTAGAGCCCTGGGGTGACTCAGTGGCGGCCCTGGGAGCTAGCGCTCTCAGACTGAAAACCTCCTTCACAACCACAGCACTAGCAGCAGCAGGGAGGACGGCGGCGGGCACTTATGGGACACTTGCCGTGTGCCAGGCACCGTGCCAAGCGTTGTATGGGCTTTAGTTTGCTGAATCCACACCATCTCCCTAGGAGAGAGGTAGCTCGTACCCATTTTACAGATGCGGAAACTGAGGCTTAGAGAGGTTAAGGCACTGGCTCAAGGTCCCCTAAGTAAGAGGCAGGGGTGGGTTTGAGGCTGGCTCCACCTGCAACAAGCCCTCTGGCTAATAGGGTATTTGAGGTGCTAATCGCGGCTTCAGGAGGACAGAGGGGGTCTGAATGGGGCCCTTCCCTCCGGGGTCCCTGGCCCCACCCGCTCTGACCCGTGCCTCCCGCCACAGCTGAAGGAGCACCCGGAGAAGGGAGTGTACGTGAAGGGGCTCTCCATGCACACGGTGCACAGCGTGGCCCAGTGTGAGCGCATCATGGAGCGAGGCTGGAAGAACCGCTCGGTCGGCTACACCCTGATGAACAAGGACTCCTCGCGCTCCCACTCCATCTTCACCATCAGCATCGAGATCTACGCTGTGGGTATGTGCAGCCGGAGGGGGTGCAGGGGGTCGGGGGGCCTGAGTCCCGCTCGAGTCGCCAAGGCTTCTCCTCTAGGCCCCCCCCCCCACACACACATTGGGAAGGATGCTCAAACTGCTGGAGGGAGCACTGGGGCCCCTTCCGTGCTAGGACCCCTGCTTCCGGATGAACAGCAGCATCAGCTACAGACATAGTCCGGGCGGCTGCGCATGACTGCCCGCCGTGCGCTCTGTGCGCGTGTCTGTGGCCGTGGGTGGGGCTGCCGGAAAGTGCGGTGCTCGTGGCTCGTGGCCGCTTCCCACCAGTCCTCCGCCAGGCGTGCGCAGTTTCCAGGCCTTCAGTCCACGTAATGCCGTGGGGAACCCTCTGTGCACCAGACGCCTGTTCGTAGACCCGTTCGCTCAGATTGGGTTCCTCGGGGTAGACCTGGAGCGGAGGGCACGCACCTGCCTAAGGCTCCGGTGCGTCCCGCAAAGAGCTCTCCGAAAGGGTGGTTCCAAGTTCCTCCTTCTTGCTGCGG